TATATATATATATATATATATATATGTATATGTATGTATGTATGTATGTATACAGTATATATGTTTGCTTTGTTTAATATGCATGTTTTTAAATCTGAACTTTGGTTTCTGTGGAGTTTCTTAGATTTTTAAAGTTCCATACGTAACTTCTGAATACTTAGTTTTGTTTTAATTGTAACTTTTCACTTCCTTTCTTCCTGCTTCTCAGGACGACGAGTTTTACGAGCAGGCTGGAGAGGTTCGCTCGCAGCTTCGTTTCTTCGAGCAGCTGGAGAGAATTGAGAAGCAGAGGAAAGACGAACAGGAGAGGGAGATTCTTCTGAAAGCAGCTAAAGTAAGTTACAGTCGCCTCACCTTCCTGCTAAGTGGGTGTGCATGACAAAGTTCTATCCCCCATGCAACGCTGAGTGCTTGTTCATATGTGTGTGTGCTCCTGTGTGAGCTCTGACAGATGAATTAGAGTGTGACTCCTGTGAGTGAGGTGACCCAKGCTGCTGGCCCCCGGGGCTCCTCTGTCCTGGCTCTTCTTCCACACACAGAATGAGGAGGGGTAAAATATGTATGATAATAAACMCTCAATGCACCTTTTCTCCACCCAACCTGCTCTGATGTTTCAATTTTTGATTTTATGTAGCCCTTTTCATTTTTTTAAAATACTGTTTACACCACAGATAATAATGAGCTGCCATAGAAACTCATTTTAAAGTGTGGTCTACAGAAATTCAAAGTTCATTGATGTGTGCACAGAAACTACAGCTTGACCCTTTACTGATAAATATGCTCCATAAAAATGTATAATATACCCCTTGAATAAATAAAAACCRGAAAAGAATTAAGCTTTAGTTTATATAAAAACATTGTAAATTCAAAGCGAAAAACAAAAAGGCATTGTCTTGGAAAAATAACATCTTGTACACCTATTGTGTACAATATGTACACAACAGGTTATTGTCTGTGAATTTATCCTGTGCACTGACTCAGAGGTTGTTTTTGTGTAAAGATTTTTTATGCCAAGGTAGAGCTTTCTGTGGTCAAACACTGTATTTCACCTGGAGCTGTTGAAATCAGTGTGAGGATGTTGGTCTCTAAAAACCTTGGGAGGAAAACAAAAGTCATCAGTGAACCAACAGATGCATCARTTCAACAAGTTTTGTAAAACTTGGATGTAAGTGGAGACGAGATGACTACAATAAGAGCGGAGGATAAAAATRATTATTAAAAAACGTTTGAAATTCTAAACTTCATGTACACTTTGYAATAAAGTCAGTCTGAAAACTAAACATCTGTTTCTAGTTTGATATTATTGCTGAACGTTTCACTGTCTAGTGCATTAAGTGCAATAATTCAGATCATGGATGGATGGATGGATGGATGGATGGATGGATAAATGAATGGATGAACGGGTGGATGGTTGGATGGATGGATGGATGGTTAGATGGATGTATGGTTGATTGATGGATGAATAGAATGATGGATGGATGGATGGACGGACAATTGATGGATGGATGGATGGATGGATGGATGGATGGATGGATGGATGGATGGATGGACAATTGATGAATGAATGGAATGATGGATGGACGGACGATTGATGGATGAATGGAATGATGGATGGACGGACGATTGATGGATGAATGGAATGATGGATGGATGGATGGATGGACTGATGGATAGATGGAAAGATGTGTGATGGATGGTTGGATGGATGGATGGTTGGATGATTGATGAATGAATGGAATCATGGATGGATGGATGGATGGATGGATGGACACATAGGATTATTCCCTCAGACCTTTAGAATTAAGTAAATTTACTCCAGTTTGCATTTTTTATAATATTGCAACATTAATGACAGTTTTATTCTCTTAAATAACAAAGCTTGTTTTGTAGTAAAGGCTTTATTATTTTGTGGATGGATCTATCTCCAGTTTTATTTTTAGTGAGTTTCTGTTAGCAGTGGCAGAGGTCCAGTATCCTTATTTGTGCTTTTAAAGAAGAGAAAGAAAAAAAGGGAAACTTTGCAAATGAAAAAGCCCTGCAGTGCAACATTAGCAGAAAGCTAGGTTAATTTAATTAACTTGATGGAGTCAATGTCCCACAGTAMGGACTCTTATAGGAACATACCTCACTTTCTTCATTTTATCATTATGTARGATATTGCAAAATTGCCTTGTTGTTTAATGCTGACCACCTAATCTCAAGGCTTGTCTTCTTTTCATTTTGTTCTATGATYAGCCACATACAGTAGCTTCTGTTGGTCAGATGTCAAGAAAGACAATATCAGCAGAAAGTATGCTTCCAAATGGCTTTGTCTTAAAAAAACAAAAAAATATTTTTGTCAGTGCCACATTTCACATAGTTTAACACTCTAATCTTTTTTGTTTATTGTGGAAAGTGTTTTTATTAGCACTTTTTGTGAAGAACTCTTCAACTGTTGCCTAGTTCTTTTTGGTAGGCGCTTCACTTGAGGCTGTTTGTGTTGCACGAGGCTCGTGAAAGAAAGTTTTACTTCACCCTGAGGCCAAATCTGTGGCTTTTTGGCTTCAGTTGCCATGGTATTTTTAGTTTAAGAGAAAGTTTGGAAAGCAAATCCATGCCAAATGATTTTACAGTACGATCCACTGTCAGTTTCTGTTAATACAGCAGCAGTTTTTAGGATTTTTTATTAATGTATTCTGTGTTTTTGTTATCCATGTTTTTCCAAACATTTGTACGGGGACAATASTGGCTGTTGTCTCTGTTTTTATTAGGATGCTAGTTTAAATGTTGTCAGACCAAATTTAGGGAGGGAATACCAACGAAGGCATTCTGAGCCACTTACCTCTACCCACRTGGCAAAATTTGTCTGGCTTAGTTCTGGCCCACACAATGACGACCCTTTGTTGGCCCAGATGTGGTTTGCCAGAAGTGGTCCTTGCATTGGTCAGAACCACAAAAACCAAACGACAAACCCACCAGTTGTGGTGTGCCATTGTAAGAACAGTGCCATTATAGCCAGACCAGTACCATATACAGTGGGGTGCGAAAGTTTGGGCACCCTTGTTAATTTTCCTGATTTACCTTTATAAATCATTGATTGTTTGGATAAAAAAATCAGTTAAATATATCATATAGGGGACAAACAGTGATATTTGAGAAGTGAAATGAAGTTTATATGATTTACAGAAAGTGTGCAATAATTTATTAAACAAAATTAGGCAGGTGCATAAATTTGTGCACAAAAAAAAACCCTAGTAGATCTTCTTTTCGCAGAAATAACAGCCTCTAAACGCTTCCTACAGCTTCTAATAAGAGTCTGGATTGTGGCTGAAGGTATTTTAGACCATTCTTCTTTACAAAACATCTCTACTTCATTCAGGTTTGATGGTTTCTGAGCATGGACAGCTCTCTTTAAGTGACACCACAGATTTTCGATAATATTCAGGTCTGGGGACTGAGATGGCCATTCCAGAACGTTGTACTTGTTTCTCTGCATGAAGGCCTTAGTAGATTTTGAGCAGTGTTTAGGGTCATTGTCTTGCTGGAAGATGCAGCCCCGGCTTCAGCAGCTTCAGCTTTGTCACTGATTCCTGGACACTGGTCTCCAAAATCTGCTGATATTGGTTGGAATCCATGCGTCCCTCAACTTTTAATAAGATTCCCAGTCCCTGTACTGGCCACACAGCCCCACAGCATGATGGAACCACCCCCACATTTTACTGTAGGTAGCAAGTGTTTTTCTTGGAGTGCTGTTCTTTTCCTCCATGCATAACGACCCTTGTTCTGCCCAAATAACTCTATTTTAATTTCATCAGTCCACAGCACCTTATTCCAAAATGAAGCTGGCTTGTCCAAATGTGCTTTAGCATACCTCAAGCAGCTCTGTTTGTGATGTGGGCGGAGAAAAGGCTTCCTCTGCATCACTCTCCCATGCAGCATCTCCTTGTGTAAAGTGTGCTGTATAGTTGAACGATGCACAGTGACTCCATCAGCAGCAAGATGATGTTGTAGGTCTTTGGTGTTGGTCTGTGTGTTGACTCTGACTGTTCTCAACATCCTTCACTTCTGTTTATTCCAGATTTTTCTTGGTTTGCCACTTCCAGCCTTGACTTGAACTGTGCCTGTGGTCCTCCATTTTCTCACAATGGGCCTCATGCAAGAACCGTTCGTACGCACAGATTTGTTCTTAAATTGTGCGTACGAGTGATTTAGGACAATTTATGGCATTCACCAATGTTTTCGTATTCTAAGAATTTTTTCAGATACGAACAAAATT